ATTAACATTTAGTGGGTAGGAGATCTTGGATAAATAGAAAGCTAACATTTTTGGTGGAGAAGTTGGGCACATCTTTATTTGGTCTATATTGGCTCCATTAACTATGCGCCTATAAACCTATCTATATAATCTAAAAATTTTTTTTTTCCGTTGTATTCAATTAATTTAACAGCGTGCATCATTAATTGAATTAGGCTATACCGATCTTTTGGGTAATTTTACTATCACGATCTTTTGGGTATTTTCACTATCACGTGACTAATTTGTTAAATACGAGTAATTTAAGACGTCCTTGTTGAATATCTCGAATAATTCATATATCTCATCATCTCCTATTAAAATAAATTTATAAAAATGTCTGATTCTGAATCGACAATGGAGCCAACACGTCGAGAAGCGATTGATGAGGAGTCCTTAAATGAATTAACTGAAGGTGATCCAAATTTCGACAATCTTATGATCGACAAAAAGCGTCGACAATCTATTGTACCTCTTTCCCATCAGCCAAAATCAGTTGTTGCAACAAAGGCATCTGACCTTGAATCGGATAATGGTGATAATGAGGGTGAAGAGGGATTTGATTCATTTATCTTTAATAATTTTAGCGCGTTTTCTGGATCAGAGAATGTAATCGATTGGTTAGACAACACCGATAAAAAATTTAATTTACATAAGATTTCACGTAAGCTTCGTTATTTAGCTATACCATTACTTATTGAAGGAGATGCTAAAAGAAGATATATTCGAAACAGAAATAGTATAAAATCATACGACGACTTCTATGAATTTTTTTTGATTAACTATGATGTAATTGAACCTAACACACGTCATTTTCAACATAATCCATCGTATTCATCAAATCAAAATAATTTTACACATAATCCATTAACACATAAAAATATATCGTTCGATGATCAACAAAAAAATACCACGAATAATTTTGATTTAACTGATAATTTGCCACCACGTCCTATCTTAAGATCAACTGCTATGGTTGATATTGGAGCCACCAGACTATCTGGTGATGAACCCGAAAATCGATCAACCATCACACCTTCTTCTAACATATTTCACAATACTTCTAACCTTGATCAGACAACATATGTAATTCATAAAGTAATTATAGATAATCTAATTAAAAATCCTAAAACATTTCAAGGAGGAAAAGAAGATGTAAAGCAATGGCTAGAGGACATTGAGCAACTTATCGATACTGCACAAATTTCCGATAGTCAAAAATTAGATTTGATTCCATATTCCTTACGAGGAGAAGCTCGTCGGTGGTACAAGAATACCAAAGCTACATTAACATCGTGGCCAGTATTGGTAAAAGAGTTGAAGGAAGCGTTTCTTTCCCCCTTCCATGATGAACTAGCTTTTAAAAAGCTCGAATCTTACACACAAGGGGTCAACCAACCAGTGAGAAGTTTCTATAACGAAGTGTTAAAGTTATGTACTGAAACCGATCCCGATATGAGTGAATCAATGAAACTTCGTCATCTTCTCAAAAAGGCCAAACCTACACTTCAATACGAAGTAAGAAAGAGAAAACCAACAACAATTAAACAATTCCTTGAATATGCAAAAGAATCAGAGGAACTCCTTCAATTGTCTAATCTTGAAACTGAAGTTGAGAGATATGACCATAATAATACTAATTCAAATAATCAAATAACATCAAATGTAACATTAACACGAACAAATGCATCAAACCCACATATTGATGCCACTTCTTTTCCCACCTATAACCGAAAAATGAATAATAATAATTACTATAATAGTAATAAATATTACAACAATCGAAGTAATGATAATAATTCTCGTCCTTCTCAATTATTAGATTCATCTCGATCATTTAATTCTTTTAATTCGTCTTTTCGACGAAACAATTCATTATATTTATCTGATCAACCAACAAAATCTAAACAACAATTCCATTCTAACATTCAACGTACAAACTATAATTTTAGTCCGATTTCATCAAAAAATCAAACTAAATCATCATATCAACATAATAATAATACCAGTAATACTAATCGAACTAATAATCAAACACATCAAGTTAATAACATCATCGACACCCATATTCCATCATCTTCTCAACCTACACCGTTATTGTCAAATTCTGACATCTGTACTCAATGTCAACAGACGGGACATCAGGCATCTGCTTGTCCACGTTTCTAGTACCGGGGCCATCGCAAGATGGTGCTGACTCCGGAAAATTAAAAAGAAACCCATCAGATCTATCTTTAATCTTTATAAATACTCTAGTTAACAATCATAATATGCAAATATTGATCGATACCGGAGCCACCAATACTTTTATCAATTATAAAACATTACATTCTATTAAACAAGCCACACGTATAAATAAACATTCCTCTTCTTTTGTTCTTGCCGATGGAATAGCTCCATTTCATGTCCTAGGAGTAGTCGAATTACAAATATTATTTTCTAATCAAATAACCAACATATCTGCTCATGTAGCTCAAGATCTCTGTACTGATGTAATATTAGGAATGGACTACATAACTCTATATAATCTTAAATTTAATCTTCGTAAACGAATAATTTCCATTGACTTGAACAACCGTCTATACCAAATGAATATCAATCAGAATGTACAAACTGAATTTATTCCAGTTACTCTATTAGATCCATTATGTATTCCTGCTCAATCAGATCGTTCTGCTAAAGTATCTATTCCTATTTCATCTATTTGTTCACAATTCATCCCTCATTATCCATTTTCTTTATGTAATACTGCATTTGTTTCACATAAATTTCTTCAATTTTGTAATCATTTAACTCATGTCACCTTTTCTAATACTTCACATCGATCACATGTCGTTCCTCAAGGAACTCGTATTGGATATCTATGTCACTATTCTATTACTCAATCTAATACAAACAGTGCTAACCATTTCCATAAGTCATGTGGTGTCACCAATGAATTTGGTGAATTACCAGATTTTCATGCTTCCGCTACTAATACGAATACGGACAATCACACTCAAGATCGTCTGTATTGTGCTACAATTGACAAAATACATCCCTCAACTGAACGAGATATTTATCAATTAATTAGTAAAATAAACATAAAACAACATCGAGATGATCTTCTTAAACTTCTTTTTCGTTTTCATAAAATATTTGATACTACAAAACATAATACAGCTAATACACCCATCCATCATGTCATTAACACTGTTCCACATTCACCACCTGCTTGTAAACCGTACCCACAACCTGATACAGTCGAGATAATGTATAATATGATACAAGAATATCTAAAAGCCGAACTCGTAACCGAATCTCATTCTCCATATGCGGCACCGGCGTTCCTAGTTAAAAAACATGACGGTACATATCGTTTTGTAGTTGACTATAAGAAGTTAAATCTAATCACCATTAAAGATTCGTCACCTTTACCGAACATGGAAGACACTATAAGAAAGCTAGGAGAAGGTTATAGATATTTTTCTAAATTGGATCTTAAATCTGGATTCTATCAAATTCCTATCAGAGAAGCTGATAAAGAAAAAACTGCCTTTACTACTCCATTCGGTCTTTATCAATTTAATGTTCTTCCAATGGGACTTAAAAATTCCCCACCTACCTTTCAGAAGGTTATGACTAATTCATTAGTTTCCTGTCGTCAATTTGCTCTCGTTTATCTCGATGACATTATTGTGTTTTCCAGGACATATAATGAACATATCTCACACTTAACCCAAGTATTTATAGCTTTAAGTAACCGAAATTTTGTTTTAAATCCACCCAAATGTGAGTTACTAGTATCACAGATAAATTATCTGGGTCATACAATTAGTGAGAAGATAATTACCCCTATGAAAGACAAAATACAAGCTATACTTGATATTAAGGAACCACGTCTTTTATCTCAAGCCAATAAGTTTCTTGGGGCTCTCAGTTGGTACCGCAAGTTTTTGCCTAATTTCGCCACAATTGCTGCACCCATACACGCTGTAACAAATCTCACTAAAAATAATCGTCATAAATTCCATTGGAAATATGCACAGGCGCAAGCATTTAAACAACTTAAACAAATGTTAACATCTACACCACTTTTTCTACATTATCCCATACCTGATAAACCTTTAATTCTGACAACAGATGCTAGTGGAATTGGTATAGGAGGAGTTCTACAACAAGAAGTCGATGGACATTTACATAATTTGTATTATCATTCTCAATTATTAACATCTTGTGAAAGAAAGTATAGTACCATAGAAAAAGAAGCACTCGCCATATATAAATGTTTTGTTCGTATGAGACCATTACTGTTAGGCCGACAAATTACGATAATGACTGACCATTGTCCATTATGTCATATAATGACTAAAACAGTTAATAATGTAAGAGTAGACCGAATTGCAACGTTAATCCAAGAGTATAATATTGATAAAGTAGTTCACATTAATGGTCATCGAAATTGTTTACCTGACTATTTATCTCGATATCCCCATGAACCAAATGATGACCTATTTGACATTGAATATGGACTTAACAGTAAAAAGGAATCTATACCAATAACATCTCCCACAAATACTCTTATTGCTAGTATGGTCTTGCGACCACGTAACAATAAAGATGTGTGGGAAAAGTCTTCTCTATCCGATGACGATAAGAATATATTTAATCAGAATCTTACATCTCATCCTAATACACAAGATCAATTAGTAAATACTCACATTACTTCCACCTTTTCCACTAATAATTTTGACATTATGAAGTTGAAAGGTGAACAACAGAAAGATCCACTAGTACAGAAATACATAACACAATTACGCGCAAATCTACCGAATACGTCATTTATTATAAAGAATGACATTCTTTATAAATTAATCATTCCCTCTCGATTATCAAAAACAAAAATTGAAGTAATTTTTCTCCCAAGATCCATGGTTACCACCCTTCTTCAAGCCTGTCATGATGATCCTATGTCGGGAGGACACTTTTCAATTGATCGTACGTATAGTAAGTTGAGAAAACATTATTGGTGGCCTAATATGAAATATTCTATCAAACAGTATATAAAGTCTTGCCTTTTATGTCAACAATATAATGTCAGTCGCCAGAAAAAACCTGGACGACTTCGTTCAATTGCACCTCCGGAAGGTCCTTTTCAAGTCATCGGCATAGATTATTGTGGTCCTCTTAAAAGATCACCACGAGAAAATCGTTATGTGTTAATAATAACTGACTATTTTACTCGACATGTCGTAGCTATTCCCTTACCTAATTGTTCGGCGGAAAAAACTGCTGAAGCCATATTCAACGAATATTTTTGTAGATTTGGTGTTCCTTGCTTAATTATCAGTGATCAAGGATCTCATTTTCGTAACCAATTAATGTCTAATATGCACTTGTTAATTGGATATAATCATATCTTTAGCACTGCCTACCATCCACAGACCAATGGAATCGTTGAAAGATTTAACAGTACATTTATTTCTCAAATTTCTAAATTGCACGATTCCGAAAGTAACAACTGGGATGAATACTTACAAGCAGTTGTCTTTGCTTATAATTCTGGAGTTCATAAAACAACTAAATATTCACCCTATGAGTTACTGTATGGACGCCCTCCTCGTCTTCCTTTTTATTCAAAACCATCTCATTTTTCTTTTCGACAACCAAATGACTACTTCGAACAGCTAAAAAAGACATTAAAAATTTATCATCAGTCAACCAGATTCAATATAATACAACAGCAAGCTCGAAATAAAGCATATTATGATCGAAATCGTAAAGATCCCTTTTATAATATCGGTGATAGAGTTCTCACACGAGTTCATGGTGTAAAAGGAAAACTTGATCCTATATTTTCTCTAACCCCAAAAGTCATCATTCACACACATCATCCAATTTACATTGTTCGCGATGAACAAACAAACATAGAATCACGAGTTCATGTCAGTGACTTACGACACATAATTGTCAATTAATCATCTCTTTCAATATATTTTTTTTTCAATTATAGCAAAAGCATTGATACGATATTCAAAAAAAAAAAAAATGAATTAGATCGAATGATTGATTAATTATTTGAATATACTCTGACTTTATTCGTCTTCTTTATTTCCTCATCTTATAAACCTATTATTAACTAGGTTTAGTGAGTTCCCTTCATCAATACTCCTACCTTTAGCGGATTCTCGTCACCGCCTCCAATTTGCTTGGATGGCAGGAGTCTTTACAGAGCGTGCGAGACTCATCTATCTTCCTCTTTGTTATCAATCACATATCCTTTTCTCTCCACATTATTCACCTTTCATAATCTATATTCAATCTTTCACCTTGTTTTTTTTTCCCGCTACTTAATTTGATTATAGGTCACTGTCAGTTTTCCTCTCATAGTTCCTTTTTTGGAAAAATGAACAACTTAGAGTATAACTATCTTACATTTAGGTCTATTGTTTTTTACTTTCCATTCCAAGTACTTTATTCCATTCAAAAAAAAAAAAATTAAAAATTAAAAAATTAAAATGGCCACTTCTCAATTATCTCCAGCTACACCTATGTACTTTATCCTCACAGATAGTCATGGTAAATATGTTACACCGACCATTACCACATCATCTTATTCAATAATAGTCAAAGCCATTTCTGGCCTGAAATGGATAGATAAGTATAACTCTAAATTATCAGTTTTAGCTTTATTATCCACAACCATTTTTGATTCATATCTTTCATCAGCAAAAGCTATAATGTTACTAGTAGGAACTAATTCGATTCGCTGTATTTCAGCTTCAACAATTATTATCCAAATCATCACTGTCATCAATTTTCTACGTTCACACTATACTCATTTGTTGGATAAACACAGTATCAATATCGTACCCTGTTTTCCTTGTTTTAAACCATTCTATCCCCTTAATACATATCATTCTTTATTAGATAATATTACTCAATATAACAATTTATTATTTGATTTATCTATTACTCTAAATTTCACAGTAGTCGATTTTCATGTTATGGATTATCATATAGGGGTTGATCGAATGCATCTTGATTTCAAATACTCTACTCTCGTACAAAACTCTATTGTTGATTATTTTCAATATTTAACATCCATAGTAATCGTATTACCTGTTAAACCTATGGGTCGATCAAGAGAAGCAAAAGCTCGTCGTAACAAACGACGACATATCAAGCTTTTCCTCAAACAACAACAATATTTTTTAACTCGTCCCATTGAATCGTCATGGTCTTTAAAATCGATCAAAATATATTTACATGATCAAAAAATCAAATTCGCTAAAATACCCTCTATTTATCGAAAAACTCTTCGTATTCAGTTTAATAACTCGGTCGACCTTCAAATAGCAGAAGCAACTCTACCTCAAGATGCCTTTTTCCAATAATCCTATTATTAAAAATTAATATGAAGACAGTATCTTTTCTTTTGTTTTTTGCTATTCTAGTGTGGGAGTATATGTAGTTCTTCTTATAATGTGGTATCTTCTCTGATATATTCCTTCATTTTGTCCTTTGATTAAAGTGGAGCAAGTCCAGGCCGACACAATTTGCGGGCAGGAGAATTTAACTGTTCACTTTTTTTCAAAAGACAAAAGATCATAATTTGAAAAAATTTTTTTCTCTCTCTCTGTTTATTCTATACATTATCTTCATTTATACATCCTCCTTCCCTACCTTTTCTTCCGGTTAAAGTGTTTCATGTCCATGCCGACATAATTTGCAGGCAGGAGAGCTTGAAAGATTACGTTTCCGCAAGATAAAGGTCAAACTATATAAACCTTATTATTATTTTTTTTTGCTTTGTCCCGTGTTGTTTTCTTTTGCTCTTTTTCTCTTCTTTAACCTCATCTTTGGGTGTAAGTAATTTTACTTTCGTTCTAGCCGACACTCAGGTGCAGGCAGGAGATTCGAAAGTTCTTATTTTTGCCCAAACGGTGAAGGTGTTAGCGTCAACAGTTGTTACATTGTTGTCGCTAACCTTTTTTCGT